AGATATTAGGACATTATCAAGTTTCACAAAAGTTAGAGCCGCGAACCACCAAGTGGTTTGGCAGGGTTCCATATGTTTACAGGTGTGCAGCTTGTCTGGCTGAACTCTTCGTCCTGGTGTGCTGCAGGTCACAAAAGCCGGAGCGGGGCTTTGAGTTAAGTCTGCCTCAGCAGCCTTGGCAGTCAAGGCAGTCAAGGGCCAGGAAGCAATGCCAGATTCGTAGCGGAATTGAAGGGTTAGAGCACTGCATGGGCAGGTGGGAAAGGGGAATGTCTGGATTGGGGGCGTGGGCAGCGACTCGACTCGCACCGTGGGGGTTGGCCATGATCCATGTGAATTGCCTGCTATCTGCCGCTTTTGTTTCAGAGCATAGCCTTGCGGCCTTGCGATGCCTATAAGTCATGTTAAGCCGAGTGTACTATGCGCTGACGTCGCGGAAATGCAGACGAGCACTTTTGCAACTGCACCCTTGTGCAGTGATATGCCTGCTTTTGGTGCTGCCAACAGCGCCTCGGCGAAAGACAGAAGTGGCGTTCGTTTCTGACACACTACTACATGACTTTGACATTGGATGAAGCTGAGGCATTCTTGGCATGGCAGTTGTGGCCAGCGGCCTTCCCCCTTCAAGACAGCATCACCACCAAGTATGAGGTGCATCCCGCGATGGCCAAGACATCGCCACTTCCGTGCCTAGGCATAGAGGCATGTCTCTCTCTCTCTCTCACTATCTTTCTAGCATATCTTTGAGGGTCGTCGTGCCAAGTTGTTGTTCGGTGGCCTTGGTGAGGTCGAGCAGCGACACAAATGCGCAGATGATTGTCCAAAGTTTGAGGGGGCGACCGCAATTGTCCAAGATAACCAGCATCGATATCGATGAGAAGGTCGCTAGGCCAAGCGTTGACGGGTTGAGGAAAGGCCAGGCGCCCGCTACCCCGACGGCTGCATCGACGCCTATCCCACGAGCTTCAGGTCCTGCTCAGTCTGTCTCTGCCCTGTCAGCAGACCTTCACCCAGCATACAAGAGGCTAATCAAAGAATATCCTTTCCAACCAGTGCGGAACGAACGTGGTCAGTTTGTCAACGTTATACTTGTTAGATCACCATTCCGGTCTCGTCACCAAAAAGACCTGTACGAACAGTACAAGAATGAGATCCTTTTTCTTGGTATCAGCAGCTTCGAGGACTACCCACAGCCACCTCCCAATCCCTTCTCTGGGAAGTTCCCCATAGATGAATATGTGGGTCTTTTCCCCGGCTTCTTGCACATGGTACGCGAGCCAGAGAAGATCTTTCCTCCGTCAGTGAAGCTGCTTCTCATGTCGCAGTCGGACTTTTCACTGCCTCCGCCGCAGCCGAAGATGGCAAACAAGTATGACTTCACATTTTCCGGTTCAGACCAAGATGTTCGAAACGATTGTGTTGGTTGGTCTTCATTCGCAAAGAATTGGACCTTCGTCAAGGAAGCATTGCAGGTGATGTGTGGTGAGCTTGGAATGACTGGGGTGCTTGTTGCCACGAAGGACAAGCAGGATCGCAAAGCTTGCAGCATTCCCGCGAGCTGTGAGGGCAAGATCGTCCAAACCAAATTCCTGAGCCAGCAGGAATTCTTCTCCTATGTCAGACAAAGCAAGTTTCTCTTCGTTCCGCAGGTCCATGACGCCTCACCTCGCGTGACCACTCAGGCGTCACGCCAAAAACATGACATGAGGCTTGCTGCTTGTGCTGTCCACTTCCATGCAAAGGCCTTGGCACTGGACGTTCCCTTGCTCATGAACTGGAACCTCATCGGTGGCTGGAAGTATCTGAACAACAAAACGGGTGAATTCTTTCACGCGCCTCGGTTAAAATCAGTCGCCGGACCCGTGTATGCGCCGCAGGTGTTGGGTCGGAGTTTAGCCCCGATAGCCGAAGTGATCAGAGGAAGGCGAGGCCCGGTTGGAGGTAAGTTGTAACTAACACCCGTCGGCATCAAGACAACGAGGAAGGTATCAAATGATGGAAGCAGAATCGATATTATACCAATCCGAACCAATCCTCTGTCATGCCTTCGTTGGAATGTGCGAGTCCGAGGGGTAGAGACTCTGTCCTTCCACACTTCCTTGACCTCAACAAAAGTTCACTACACATGTCTTGAGAACCGGGGCTCTTGACGCGCCGCATAGGGACACACGGAACTCATCAATCCCCTCCCTAATCCAAGCCATCAACACTCCGAACTTCCGAAACTATGGCCTGTGGGCACAAGATGTCGCAGGAACCAGCCCCAAGCCTCACAAACGTACCATCGTGATGGGATCGATCTTACCACTGATTCAACCCTTTATTTGCGATTCGCACAGACTGTTACATGCAGGCTATGTCGAGGATCCCTCGAGAGCTCACGGCTGCCTTGTACTCATTGCATTCAGTACACTCCATGCATCGACCCTCACACCAGCTGTCCGTCATGACTTGCATTGCGAAGGCTTTCATCTCCCCACCCCGGCTGATGTACACCTCGCGTTGCATGGCTCCATCCCAGGAAATGCCTTTAGACTTAGGCAAAGCACCAGCACCAGCACGAGCACTGGCACCAGCACCGCCACCACCACCGCCACCACGAGCCGACGGCCACGCGCGTCGCGATCACCGTGCCCACTTGCGCGCACTCCGGGCACCAAGAATATAGATCACCACATAGAGCACCGCGAGGACCACGTCGAGCACCATGCACACCACGACCTGCACGATGTCGTGACACACGAACACCACTGGCACCACGAGCACAACGACCTCTGCGAGTACGCCTGCGCCACGAGCACCTCGACGACTGCGACTACCGGACTCTGCGACCAAAACCGCATCACCAGCACCACTACCAGCACCGCTACCATCAGCCGTGGCTGTGGAAGACAACCGCTCGGCAAACTAACAGCTGGGTGGATTTCCACGATTTGTTCTCGGTCCGGAAAGCTTCGAGGCGCAGGTGGAAGCTTGCAGCAGGCAAGCTGCTGCCGATCCTCTCAGGGGCCATGCCTTCACTCGACTGGGTCCAGTGGAGATTGCTTCGGGGGCTTGGGTGGTGTTTCTAGCCCGGCACAGGGGAGTCGCTTGTTCCGCTCGCTTTTGGGCGGAAACCAAGAATCAGGGGCCTGGCCGATCAGCACCCAGGCCAAAGCTCGGCCCATGACCACCTCACACACGAGGGTTGACTACACAGAATGTATGAGGAGCTGCATGCGAGCTTTGCAAAGCCTCTCGGAAGCAGGACCCAAGGTACGTCACTTTTGGAGTGCTCAGCCGCTGCCCTGTTGACGAAGGACATGACTGATTTCCGCCACAGCGTGACGACGCTCCTGAAGAATGTGGACGGATGCTTGGTGTTGCGAGAAGCATCATCGATTATCAGCATTTTGAAGCATAGCTTTCACTACTTGTCGGGTTTCTTGTCCTTACTGTAAACCGCTAGCAGAGGACTGAATAGAAGCGCTGGTCAGAGTTTTCAAGTCCGCCGATCCCCATCAGGGTGCCCATGCGCTGCCCGAGTTCGTTCAAATTGACTCCTCCGTTTACCAACCTAGTCTAGCTCCTACAGTGCGTGGTTATGATTTTCATCATGCTTCATCTTCCAAGTGCGCGAGCCGAAGCGGCATGCAAAAAGTTTTCGAATGACATCCTGCCGCACCACCAACCCCATGGCGCATGGTCGTAGGGTGGCATGACAGCAGGCTCGCTTCTTGTTGAGTGGCATTTCCGTGCATGCCTGCAGCTTTTTCCTGTCATTTTTGAAACATATATCGATGTTCCCAATTTTGCTTTTTCACCGAAAACCATGCGTCGGTGGCCGACAGCAATCGATTTTTCCGTGCAGCTAGATTCTGAATCGCGTCAAGCTTTCAAGACTCGAACCCATTGCTTCGCTGACCGAGAACTTCAGTACGAGCCGCGCAAGTGGGTCACGGCGAATTATGGCGACCAGGTGTCTGGAACAAAGCTCCGGCAGTTTGTTGAAGAGGCACGGAGCACGGAGCTGAACATGGGTTTGTCAGGAAAGGCAGAGGCACAAGGTGTCTTAATCAGACAAAAAGTGTGTTTTCTGAGTAGTCATGAGTAGTCCGATTTGGTTGCACTCAGCGGATCTATGTCAAGTATACCGGCTTGCCAAAACATGACCCTGCAAGAACTTCGCCGATCGCGTCATGCTGCCAGACGGAACTAGACTTCTTTTTCCATCGGGCGCATGACCGGGCCCCAACAAGAAAGCGGGGCTTTGCCCTGGTGATTGGGACTTGAGCACGACATGCCACTGCTTGCAACTGCTACGGCATGCTACGGCTACGCGCTCATCCCGATGTGCGTTTGTTCTGAGTCGCTCTCACGGACCTGACACGTCGGCGGAATCTGAGATCGGCACCATCGAAGACCAGCCACTGGACCCCGAGCAACACTAGGCCGAGTTGCAGCTGCAAGAGTACGCGGGTGGCCCAAATCTTGAGCGATCAACCGAGGGAGTTTCGCGAATGCTGCGCCAAAATGAGCTGATGACATTTCCGGTGAGTCTTTGGCACATGAGGACTTGCACAGTCGCTGAAGTTGGAATGGAAGCTAGGCCCGGCAGGATCCGACGTTTCTAAACCCCTGGTTTCGGGTCCATCTCTGCGGCCGTTTGATTCAGGGACAGGCGGACACAACGTTCCTAGGAAATGTGGTTATAGCATCCATCCGAGTGCATGGTGGACGCCTGGAGCTCGGTCTGCTCTTCAGATGGCTGTTGGCCCCTGCAGGTCCCATAGACGAGATCCTTAGCTTTCTCTCATGCAGATGTGCATTTCAAGTTGCCATTGACGGCAGGGGACATCCCATGATCATGGAATTATTTATCAAATGTCTGCAAGGTCTGTCTCACCCCTCGGTACCAGAGCCCTGCCGAGGTTGGCTCGTGAAGTTCGCGTTGGGACGTCGGCACCTCATGGCCAAGCGACGCCAAGCCGACATCCCATCGACGCTCCTCCCAGGCCGAGATGGCGGCCGGCCGCTCGAAGAGCCGAGGCAAGCAGTCAGGTGCGCCAATTTTTCCTCCCCCATGAGAAAAGACCACCCAGTCATTTGTTTTTGTTCTGCTGTGTTTTGGAGGCAGCCAAAGCAAGAGCTCGAGCCTTAGGCATTGAAAATTCGGCCCAGAGTTTGGAAGTATGCTGGAGCATCAAAAGGCAGTTCCGTTTCAATGGATGTCGGCACAGACTCCTCGCATGTACTGCCGGGCATCACGGACAGCCTGCCGCAGCAGCACCGAACCAGCAAAGGGGCTGACAAACGCCGGGATTAAACTTTCACTCCAACCTCCAGTGCCGCTGCTTGATACTTCCTCGTTGGTTACGATCAACTGTTGCAACAAGCATGAGTCACTCATTTTGTGCCTTCGGCACATGGGGGCGGTTTGCACACGTGCCCACCGTAGTCAGATGCAAAGCACGACCTCATGGCCTCTGCAGGGGCAGACCAGGGATGCTGTAGGATGCTGCCAGGCTGAGACATTCAAGATTTGTGTTCGGGTCGTGACTTCACTGCAAAGATCACACGGTGTGAAAGTAGCCTCATGGCTTCGGCCACCAGGTGCAAAGAGACGCTATGAAGCGATCAGTTCAATGCCAGTCGACAGTACTTAAGCAATATTTGCAGCGATGAGTCTGGGGAATTAAGGGGATTCCCGAAGCCGTGAACGCGACAGAGATCCTGAAAGCTGCTCGGCGTAAGCCACCCGATGTTTCTTCATGCCTGTTGCTCACTGCCATCATAAGGGGATGGACGCCGAGAAAAGCGCGATCGAGGCCCCACGTTGGTAGATGATGCACGCAATTGCACGCAGAAACACAGCAAGCGTTTTTCGCTGTTTGTTCAATTGTCGGAGCTTGGTAGGCTCTGAATCATGCTCTGTGTCTTTGAGGTGGCAGTCGTGATCCCGACAAAGACCGCGAGAAGGAAAAAGACGGAAGTCGCAGCCGTGACCGCGACAAAGACCGCGAGAAGGAGAAAGATGGCAGTCGCAGCCGAGATCGCGACAAAGACCGCGAGAAGGACAAAGATCGCAGTCGTAGCCGCGATCGTGACAAAGAACGCGAAAGGGACAAAGACCGCAGCCGCAGCCGTGAACGTGACAAAGACCGTGATAGGGACAGGGATCGCGACAGAGGACCGCATCTGCCCGTGCCCTCGCTGCCGGTTGCTTTTGTTTTTGACGGGTGGGTCTCCACAGGAAGTAGTCGCCAACGCGATCGAGACCGAGACAGGGGCGGCTCGCCATCCCACATGCTTACGACATGTCACGCCTGTGTGAAGCATGTGCGACACATTGTCATTCAAGGAACTTCACGGGGACGAGACCAAGATAGTAAGGGCCTCAGCTCTGTTTTGTCCAACTTATCCCGGCTGCAGAAGCCGAGCGAAAAGTAATGCGAACGCGACGGCTTTGTTGGGGAGCGCCGCTACGAAGGTTCTCGCAGACTGAATACCGTACAGGTGTATGCCCGATTGCACAATGTACTTGCAGCGGGCCTGTCAATACCTAGAATTGCCTGTTTTGCCCGGGCAATTGAGACATTGCCAGGAGATCGCGACAGAGGCGATCGCAGAGACCGTCGGGATCGTTGGCTGCTTATGAGCGGACACACCTCAACTGCACGGCGAGCTATGGAGTCGCCCAGGCGACGCACGTGATCGCGATCGTGACAGAGGCGATCGGCGAGATCGAAGGTCACGATCGAGGCCATAGCTCAGCCGGCAATGGGCAATGTGGGGAGTCGTGTTTGTTGCCACCGCCGTGCGCATAGATTCATAAAAGATTGTCGCAACCGGTCCGCTCCTTGCCTCCCAAACCATCAAAGCAAGGCTTGCCATACTGAAAGGTTGAAGGTACTGCTTGAGTATTCACTTTGTCAAACCTTGCCCTTCTTTTTATGAAGCAGTGCGTGTACACCGTTTGCCAGCCTGTAGCAAATCCCAGCATGAATAGCTGGCGAAGAGACTGTGATGCGAAGGTTTGTTTACTTGTACAAAGTCTGGCGCGGCTCGGCAAGCCCGTAAACCGACTGGCGACCACTGACCGAAACTTGAGTCACAAAGAACGGACGAGGCGCGACAAACAATTAGGCCACAAACCGTGAACCAGATGGACAACAGGCCTTCCGGCATGCCGTGCTGAGGTCACCGAGGCGGTCGCCAAGACGATCCCCAAGGAGGTCGCCACGGCGTTCGCCACGACGTTCACCACGGCGTTCGCCACGGCGGTCGCCACGGCGGTCTCCACGACGGTCTCCCCGACGATCTCTGCGGCGGTCTCCTCGGCGGTCAGCAAGGCGATCTCCCAGGCGATCATCCCGGTCTCCTCGACGCCGTTCGCCACGTCGCAGAAGCCGCCGGGACCTTGTCTATCCAAATGCCAATAATGGAGTGCCGCTGTGCAAGCTCAGGTGACCAAGGCAATGACAGAGGAAAGGATGGCGACAAACGTGCAGCACTCAGGTCGTGTTCCCGAGATTGCCGATTCGTATAAGTGCAGTGTGACATCTCTCATAGGTCGAGAACGCGATGGTGGTAGCCCGAAGGGTCGCGGCGGTGCCAAGGTGAGTTGGAAACCGGTTCGAGAACTGATGTATTTGTGCTAGCACTCTTCGGCCCTTTAGCTTTTCAACGGTGAGTGGAAGGCAGCACGGCTCGCAGCTCTCGAGTCCATCAAACGGTGTCTTGGTCAAGAGATTGCGCCGCTTCGGTATGTGGTATGAACAGGTACAAGTACTTGTGACTTGTTCGGACAAGCTGATGCAAGCATCGCATGAGGAAGCGCGTCAAGAGCGGGAGCGGCAGCAAGAGCAGTCCAAGCCCCAATCTCCAGACAGTCTCCAACATAGCACAAGTCCGCGCAAGCGAAGTCGATGCCCAAGGCAGCCACAGCAGCAGCGCGGCACCCTCAGTGATCTATTCTACGTGCTGTTTGATTGGTGAGCCTATGGGGCAGCAAATCGGCAAATCGACCTTGTGCATGCGCCCAGTCCAGCAGCTCAACAGCAAGCGGCGAGAAGAAGAAGAAGAAGCAAAAGGGTACGTGCTTCATAGCTGTGCTGTGACAGACTTTGTATTGGCTTGCCTAATCTGCCGCAGGCGCGAGCGACGCCAATGGCGACGTGATTGAGGTCATCGAGGACAGAGAGAAGTCGGCTTTGTCAGGGTGTTGAACCAAACGAGAAATCTTAAGTGTCGAACACGTGACTGACTGCTGGCTCTGCTTATCTGCCAACTGGTGCCTGTCGGCGGGCACTTTAGTGCAGACATGGGGACGGTTTTGGTTGTACTAGATGGTTGCTTGTTTCAGGGAGGGTTTGCAATCAGGCTCTTCCCCCAAATCCTGTGACTTGGGACTGGTGTTGGCGGTCCCTCCAGGATGCCAAGCCGCTTCCTCCCTCCACTGCAGCTGTCATTGCTGCAGAGATGGAGGCACTGGAGACTGAGGGATGGCTCAGTATGAGTGCAGACAGTCGGGCAGTCTCACCCGAACGCAAACTCATGCATCGTTTGCATCCGGATGCGAGGTTCTAGCCGTCGAACTCAGCAAGCTTGGTGTGAAAGAACTGAAGGTCGCCATCAAGCTGTGTTGCACAACAGCCCCTAGAATTAGAACCCCAGAGGGCTGTTGAGCTGGAACTGCAGGACTTGCTGGGAGATGCTGGCGTGTCCTTTGTGCCTTGGACAAAAGCTGGCCGGACTCTGCGATTTTGTTTGAGGGCTGGGTTTTGTTTTTTATGCGCAAGGTTTTAATTTTTATGCTGCCCACCTCCATGTCTCCATCGACCTCCATGCCTCCATCCCGTCGCCGACACGGTTGTTTTCTTATGCTCATGGGTTCTCCTCTTATGCCCGAGGTTTCTCAATCTATGCTCTCGGTTTCTGTGTTTACGCTAGGCTGGCCTTTTTTTATGCTGCCCCGTCTCCTGCTTATACGTGGGGGGGTCTGGGTCCCGCTGAGCTAGGATTTTAGCCCCATTTAGCCACACCTGACTTGTTTTTATGCTGGACGGAGTGCGAGTCGGACTTTTTTTAATGCTTCTCCTTTTGAGCTTATGGTGCAAGGGCCAGGTGGGACGGCGGTGGGGACTGGGCCCTATCGAGCTGGATGGGCCGCGTTTAGCCAGGGCTGATTCTTTTTTATGCTGGCCTGTATGCGAATCTGACTTCTTTGCAACGCTTAAATGGGTCTTTGAAGCGCATCCTGAGGAACACAACCGTCGCAATTTTTCGGACCGCTCTATCAGCAGCATGATGTCACTCGTGTGACGCTTACATGTCAGGAGTGTTCACAGAACGAAACTAGCATGATTTTTGTGCAGCTGCGCCGACAGCTGCAAGCCTGGACATTAGCAAACTCTTTCGGCCACAGAAAAATAGGCATCATGCTTATGTTTTCGAAGAGATCACCTCGAGGAACAAAACACCACAAAACTAGCCTCCTAGTTCCCAAAGGCATATCTGTGTGTGAAAGTCGGTTTAGAACGTTTTCGGCATCGGGTTTTCCGTTTAATAAGGCTGGAGGAAGGGCCTTAGAACCGGTCATCTACTGCCATCGATGTGGCACGTCAAGGGAGGAACAAATCTGCAACGTCCCGGTAAAATGGCAGGAACACTAACATCAGGTTTCGCACGTTTTTTACAGGACTCTTTGGACTTTTGGCATCAGAGCATTGTTTTCAGGCCAACACTGTTCCCGAAACAGCACAAGCGCTTCCAAAAAATCCTGTAGCGGCCTGGGTGTGAGCAGAATATCCAAAGGCCAGAAACCAATTCCGAAACCGTTCGAAAAGCTTGGAGGGGCCTAGGTTGTGACGGAAAATCCAATATCAGGTTTTGCAGGTTCCATAGGGTTTTCAGAAAAGCCATTTTAACAGGGGCTCAAGCAGCTAGGATGGATTTTCGGGATTTGGTTTTAAGAGTGAAAACCCAGTTTTTGCCGAGCTACGGGGGCAAATGCAGCTTTTTATTAAAAATAGGTTTCCGGCCCTGTTTTGGGTTTTAGATTTTGCCTGTAAGGCCACCGGGCAGTCGGCCAGAAATCGTTCCTCGAAAAAGCTTGCAGGGGCCTAGGTTTTTGACAGAATATCCAAAATCAGGTGTCATGACTTAGGTTTTTGAAGAGCCATGACAAAACACAAACCATTTGTGAAAGTCGATCTAGAGTGGTAGTTTGCTCCTAAAATCACACACAATGCACTTTGCGAAAAAATACCTAGGCCGGCAGTTGTCAAACAACAGCAGAAAATTAGTGTGTTTTAGGTTCTTCCTAGTGCTGTCAGCTATTGCAAAGGTACTGTTGTTACTGCGTGTATGCACCAAACAAAGACGGAAAGCGAAAGTCGTGAGTGTCAGTGACAGAAAACCCTCAAACGACTAATGCCTCTACGTCACCATGCCGCACCCTAAATAGTTGTTCATTTGTGATGCCCTTGCTCTGCCGCGGAGATTGTCAAGGTGTTCGCGCTGCTTTTTATATATAACGCAGTAGAGCACGACACCGGAGAATATACTACAAATCTAAGGTTTTATGACAGGACCACATTATACTATATCATGTTATGTGAGAGTAGATTGCAATAGATCATAGAACTTGTTGTTTTGTAATCATAGACAGCATATTACTGAACATTATGCTTATGCTTGTTACATTGTGTTGCAGTTTCTTGCATTATATCTTGTTTGGCTATTTTAGACGGTGACATGTCGTATGTTTGGACGTAGTATAGTACATCATTGTACATTGGTTTTGGCGTATCAGTACATATATATATATATATACACCACAGGTTATTCGATCATAGTTTGTCATATATACAGTTTTGTATACATGTATTCTACTGGGGATCGTTTCAACATGTTAAGATATGTTATGCTATGTTTCAATTCGTTAGATTATGCTGTGTCAGAATACATTTACGCTACATTAGATCGGATTGCACTTTACTTTCCCATACTCTATCATATTATGCGATATTATGGGATGGTATGTTGCATTATGTTATGCTGTTATGCTATGTTGTTATGATGTGCGATGTTACGTTATACCGTGTGGTGTTGTTCTCTTAGCGTGCTTTGATTTGTTCTGCCATGCTATGTTACGACATGGGTGCACCAGGGGAGCACAAGGAAAAGCCAGGTTTTGGAGGGGGGAGCATAAGGAAAAGCGAGGTTCGCATAAGGAAAAGACAGGTTCGCATGAGGAAGAGCCCGGTTCGCATAAGGGCAGAAACCGTTAGCATAAGACAAAGCCGGGAGCATAAGGGGAGAAACCCACAGCATAAGAAAAACACCATGCCCTTGGTTTGAGATGTTTGAGCTTCCTGCTGTTCTGCAACCTCAGGCTGGTGCTACAGAGAAGGAGGACCAGAAATTCGAGAGGATTGTTGGAAGCTTCTGATTTCGGACTGCTGGATTGCAGGACTTGGTCAGGCCCTGCGCTGATTGGCGTGGTGTGCACATGCAAATCGCATGCTTCGACGCTTCGCCGAGGCTCCTGACCAAGGCTCGAGCACAGTCGAAAGCCAACGACGTCAAGTTCGCCTCGGTCTCAGCACGTCAATGCGCTTCAAAGGCCAAAGGAGAGACTGTCGCTGACTTCTTGTGCTGTTGCGAGGTCGCCTCGCGACAGTGGCAGAGAGTTCCGGACGGAGTAGCTTTGCCACCCGGCCTTGAGGCCAGGGATCGGCAGCGTTGAAGACTCGCAGTTCGTCAAGCTCAGTGAAAGGTGAAATTTGACATGGAGCGCGGTTGCACCCTCAAGTCGAAGACGTTGGACATTCAAGCCTGGCATGGTCTCGACCTAGGATGCAACTATGCTCGCATACCGGCAGAGAAGAAGAAGTGAGATGAACGTGGCCGATTGCCATTCGTCTGGTCATGCGGTTGTAGTCTGCCTATTCAGAGCTCACACAGATTCCTGCAGAGGCAAACCTTCAACAAGGATTACAGATTTCAGGTGAATCGCAAAGCATAAGATGGATTCGTTGCAGGCGAGTTCTTGAATGATCTAGAGTCTAGACATGGATCCTTTCTGGCATATGGTTGGTACCCATGCCCGGGCGCACGCAATGCTTCCTGCTGATCCGGCTCACCTGGAGGAGGACTCATCTGCGCCGGCTCTAGGATTCTAGAATCTAAGATGATGCAGGCAGATGCAGGTATGCTCTCTCTGTTGGCCGGTTGAGTCACGAGCACAGCAATGTACAGTGCCACCCTCTGAGAAGCAGCTTTGAGACCAGCTGCTCTGCGAGCTGCCTCCTAGTACGCCTCCGATTAAGAAGAGTTGCTGGCAAACCCTCGGCTTTGTCCAGGCAACACATCGAAGGCAGTGACTTAATCTCACATTGCATCAGTCTTCCTGGGCTGATCGGTGTTGTTGTGCGACATCTAAGAATCTGGAGTACTTATAGCGGCCGTCGCCGGCGTTGTGCTGCCAACCCCCAGGATAGCTAAACATCGTGAGAGCTGGCACCCCCCAGGGGATTGCTTAAATCAACCGGCCGTTGGCTGGCGGTGGCGGTGGGATGTGGTCCAGACGGCCGAGAAATTCATTTCCCCACTACAGGTAGAGCTTTGGGTGGTCCAGACGGCCTCCATGGAGCGAGGCTGGAGGGAGGTGGCAAGAGCATTGGGGGAGCGGAGGGGGGGTCAGAGCTTCGGGGGTGGTCAGGATGCGGTGTCTGAGTGGGGGAAAAATGGCTGGGGCCGGGGAAGGCAGAGGGGGTTGGCTCTGGACAGGGCGAGGCGAGTGAAAAGTTACGGGTCTGAAGCGTCTGAACGGCAGCGGATACAGATTCAGGCCAGACTGCGAAGGTATAGGTCAAGGTCGTGGGTCATGCGAAATAGCGAAATACCATAGCCGGTGTGATTTCAGGTGCATCCGTTGATCAGCCTTTCTGCTCCATCACCTGCAGCAAGCTTCGCCTGTAGCACTGGCGGATGACATTAGCCTCAGTGACATGAGCAATACGCATTGCAGGAGAAAGTTCCTCGTTGTTTTGAAAAGGAGAGGCTGTCTGCTGTCTGGTCTGTTCTAGTTCTTTCTGCTGCATTTCGTGCATCAGATCCGGGTGCAAGTGTAGAAAAGACCCGCTGCATTGTCTTGGTTCTGCAGCTTTTCAAGCCGAGCCGAGTGCACACGTTTGCTTCGGCTGGCGAAGTATGACACAGTTGCTTTGCTGTGAGCTGTTCGTGTGTCTGAATGGCCTGCCCATTCGCACTCAGCCAGTTTGTTCATCAGAAGCAGTCCCTCATATTTTTTACGAAGCTGTCCAAACTGCATTGGCAAAATGATGCGTGGCAAGTAGCGAGAAGACAGTACATCTGTGTTGTGCGGCGTGAGATTTCTGGCATGGAGGGTCGGTATTCGGTATGGCGGTTTTCGCGAAGTCACGCGAATTGAGGCGATGTGGCATCGGCAGTCGTCCAAAGCTGGTGGCCGGGGGTCAGATGACGGAAAGCAAGCTGCACCGCGAGCAGAAAGAGAGGGGGGTTTTGGAGGGTGCAGTCCGGATTTGTGGGGGGGGGGGGGGGGGGGGNNGGGGCAGGGACCCGAGCATCAGGGACCCAGCAAGGACCCAGCATCATAAGCATCAGGGGCCCAGCATCATGATCATCATTTACGATACTCTTTCAGCTCCGGCATTTTCACAGAAAGCAGGCAGAAGAAGCGACATGGTGTATGTTGAGCCCATGTGCAGCAAGGGCGACTACGATTCAAAGCCAACCAAGCTACGTACAATAAACGGCTCAAAGCACATTGTGAAAGGCTGCACCCTCAAGACGACACAGGGGGCAAGCAGGCGCGGATACCACTCGCTTTCCGTGTGGTCCTCCCTGGTTTGCAAGAAGTGGTGTGGCACCGCGGGGTTCGGTGTGTGTATGTGTGTGTCTGTCTGTGTCTGTGTGTGTCCGAAGTGTGTGCGCGTGCTCACCTGCGCGCCTGTCAGCAAACATGCCTGCCTACGTGCATGTCACACGTGTCTTCAGCTTGGGCCAGCCTGGTTGCATGCGAAAGGGCTCTCAGGGCTGCCGCGCAAGCCTCGTGTTTCACTTCAAGCAGAAGTTTCAACAGCCTTGCATGGCAGGCGAGGCAATGATGTGAGATGCGTTTGTAGCTGCTTGGTTTTTCTCGGGCCAGCAAGCGGACATATTGGCATGCTTCAGGTGTAGACGCGGGCCGGTTCGAGACTGACAAGAAGAGCTCTTCGAAGCAATCGCCTCATTCCCTGCAGACGTGCACGGACCTTCGCAAGTTGCAAAACAGTTGGGCCCAGGCCAGGCTATGCGCATGCGGTGTATTGGTCCAAGCGCTACCAGGAAAAGGCCTTCGAGCCGTCCCCTGGTGTTTGATTTACGTCGCCTTGCTTGCATGTCGACTGCAGTGGTTCCTTGTGGCTATTCTCTCTTGACTTTGCTAGCTATTTGTGTACCCTTTCGAGGAGGGCCGAAACGTGCAAGCTTCACCTTTCTAGTTCCTAGACATTCTGGTTAAGGACAACGCTCACACCTGATCGCTGGACGGTGAGCAGGTTAGAGATGGGTAGGCATTTTGTCAATTGGCAAACCGGGTGGGTGTAGATGCTAATGGAAAGTTCTATTAACCCGATTCGCAGCTGTGAGTAAGACACCAAGTGTAGCAAAGTTTTTGGAGCATCTGACTGTCCTGTGTGCACGACGGCAAAATCGCACACGATTGAAACCGAGGTTTGACTGGTCAGATTCTCAGTCGCGAGGTCTTCAAGGGTCAACCTGGCAGTCAGATTTAAGTCTGTCTGAGCTCAACTAGCACATTTGATCTGCTTGCGTTTGCTACAGGTATGTTAAGTGGGAGCACCTGAAGGCGGGGCAGCCGCTTTAGCCCAGCATCTCTTGCATTTGGATGGTGCAGGAGCTCCTATCAAACTGGCTGTCATCAGAGCCAAGAGCCCAGAGAGAAGTCATGTACTCTGATGGCGCTTGGAGGCAGTAAGGGCCCGTCAGACTCGCAGGGATGCTGCTGACAAGCCATTCCGATACAGCAAAGTTGGTACAGGCACCGTCAGCGGAGCCTTGCCTTGCCTGGCTGTATTGAGGTCAGTTGTCCTGATCGCCGGATGCGGTCCGGACCTGGCTCATGTCACAGAGCTTTGATCGTATGGCAGTGTGCTTGGTCGCCAAGGCACAAGCCTCGTGGCAGAGCAGATGCTGTCAGAAGGCCCGAGGTGCTGGCAGTCTGTTGTTTCACACCTGCACTATCTTTCTGGATGTTCACGGTTGCCGGCACATGCAGCGGCTTCAGCTTGCTGCCCCGGCTGTGCTGGTTTGTCGACATCTTGTGGGTAGCCTTGTTGCAGTTTCAACATGCTCCCACTTTGGACAAGCGAAAGCAGAGCAGAGCGCTCAGTTACTTGATATGCTTCGCAGACAATACTAGCAGGCTTGACGAGGAAAAACCTGTGCTACCACTGAACCAGCCTATGCCATGGTGACGTTCTCGTAGGCCTGGATGTGTGAATCCGATTGCGATATCGATGAGGAGGAGCTGCTGCAAGCTGCTCTCCAAGCAGAGGCAGCAGCATCCGCGCCTGGATTTCTCGCAGAGGAAGAAGCTGCGAAGCGTGCACGCCTCGCGCACGGCCTTTCAGAGGCCAGCAGTTGGGAGTCAGCGTTGGAGCTCTCAAGCGCTGTGCCGCAACAGCAAGCGGAGCAAGCGGAGCAAGCGCAAGCGGAGCAAGCGCAAGCGGGGGCTCTCCCAAGACCTTCCGGACGCGACTCTTCCGGGATCTCGGCCGCGGCAGTCGACATGCTTGCAGCCCGCCTGCACGACCTCGCGCTTGGGGCAGGTGCTGGCAGCATTTCGGGTCCGGGGATGATCAGTGGTGAGCCTTGTCCGATCGTTCAGGCGCATGCCAGGTTCAAGCTGAATTTTGGCGGAGTTGAGGTCCTCTTCCCATTTGAGCAGCCTCTGGAGCCGCAAAGAGCCGTTATCAGAAGCGTGTTAGAGGCCTTGGCCCTTGGAAAACATGCAGTTCTTGAAAGTCCAACTGGCACTGGCAAGACGGCCGCCGTGCTTTGTGCCTGCATCGCATGGCAGAGACACCGCATGAGGAAAACTGGCTCTGCTCCACAGGTGATGTTTGCCACACGGACACACGCCCAGGTTCGTCAAGCCATCCGGGAACTAAAACGAACCCCATACAGACCCATCATGGCCGTGCTAGGTTCACGGGAAGCTGGCTTGTGCATCAAGGAAGAAGTTCTCCAATCTGCCGAAGATGATGGGCAGCTGCGACACGCATGTCGTCAGGCACGCCGGCAAAAGACTTGCAGCTTCCACGAGGGCTTGGCTTCGCCCGGTGTGCCAGAAATCATTCAAGCTCGCCTACGGGGCTCTGAGCCATGGGACATTGAGGACATGGCACAGTTTGGAACCATGACGAATTCTTGCCCCTACTATGTGGCACACTCCGTCGCCAAACACGCCCAACTCGTGTTCTGCCCCTACAGCTACATTTTGGATCCATCTGTTCGCCAAGCTTCTGGGTTAAGTTGTGCAGACCTCAGCGGGCGAATGATAATTTTGGATGAAGCTCACAACGTCGAAGGTACTTGCCGTGATGCAGGATCGGCAGAGATCACTCTCGACCAGGCAAAGAGTGCCCTGGTAGTCATTAAGCGCTTGCTCGGCGATGATGTTGGCGGGAATTCACTTTCGGGTGACCAACATCAGATCCTTGCCACTCCTGCGACGAAATCCTCGGAGGAGCTTGGGGGCTTCATGCTGCCTGCGACTGTTTCAGCTGCCGTCGACACTCCGCGACAGTCTTCCAACGGTCCTGGTCCTTGTGCGCCAGTTGAACGGAAACGCAAAGCTACACTAGCTGCCACTCTGCGACCTGTTTCCTCACTTCTGAGTCGCATATGCGACTATCTGCGTGATCTGAACCAGCCAGCTACGTATGCGCCACATTTTCCTGAGCATCGTCAAGTGTCCGCTTTCTTGCGCGCGGTCAGGCTCGACTCGGAGCCACTTCTGCGCCCTGACGGTGCCAGTGCAGGCAGAGCTTCCGGCACTTCTGTGCCTCGGGGAGAGGCACTTCTGCGAGAGCTGGCGCAAGGAGGAGCCTTCAGCGCACAACTCGAGCTCGCAGCTTCACTTGTCCACCAGCTTGCGGCGGCCACGCGACGCCCCGACCTCTACGTGGTGCACGCTCGGCCTGAGGGGCATGGGCCACATGGTCTGGGTCAGCGGCCGGCCCTGCAAACTTGGCTGATGAGCGCAGAGGGGACTTTCGGAAACCTGGTCTCGGAGCTACATGGCATTTTGCTCATGTCGGGGACTTTGTCCCCGCTGCCGGCAACGATTTCAGAGCTTGGCCCCACATTCAAGTCCCGAGCTCTTCCTGCGCTGGCAGCCGGCCACGTGGTCGGACGCGGTGCATTGACGGTGGTGACTGTGTCACATGCAGAAAGTGCTGAAGCCAAACTGGAATGTACTTTCCATGCTTGGAAGCGACGGCCATTTCTGCGTTCTGTCGGCGCTGCCTTGGTTACAGTTTGCCGTGCCATCCCGGCGGGGATCCTTGTTTTTCTCCCTTCCTACGACCTCTTAGAGCGATGCCTCGCGGCTTGGGGCGAGAGCGACGGTGATGCCCAGAAGGGTCATGGACGGGGAATGGGACGGGGCGGGACCAAGGCTCGCAAACGCTCGGGTCCCGTCGAGCGGGTGCAGGTCGTTTCGGCCGCGCGTGGCGAGAGTCTCCTGGATCAGCTACGACAAGCCAAAGGCACCATCGTGGTCGAACCACCTCCGTCCCAACAATCCACCGCCTCCGCGGCTCGAGTCTACGAAGTGGCCAGGCAGAGATATGAGACTGCGGTGTCTCAAGGGGGGCAGGCTGTGCTGCTGGCGGTCTACCGAGGAAGGATGAGCGAAGGGGTCTCATTCGATGACGACTTTGCACGTGGGGTGGTCTGCATCGGCATCCCATTCCCAAACCTTACGGAAGAGAGGATTGCGCAAAAGCGAGCTTTTAACGATTTCTCGGTGTCAAGGTCCACTGGTGCAGTTTCTGGAGATGCGTGGTACGAATCCAAGGCACTTCATGCCGTTGCACAGGCCCTGGGACGATGCATTCGTCATCCGCTGGATTTTGGTGCCCTTGTGCTGTTGGACAGTCGTTGGGCCGAGTTGGGGAACCTCGGCACAACTGTACAGAAACCGTGCATCATGACTTGGTTCATGTTGTTGCATGGCAGCTCCTAGGTCCTAGGCTTCTTGGGCATTGCTAGGTCACAGGTTGCAGGTTTGACATTTGATCTGCTATGTTTGGTTTGGTGATGGAGCAGATTGTGGCAGCATGCCATTGATTTATATAATACGGAAACAAGCAAACTCAATGTTTTTGGCCTACTAATTGTGTACCGGCGACCCTCGAAGCTTTTGCTGACGCATGACGGCAGCTCTACAGGAGCAGTTTGTGCGGCATCATCAAACAGTGTGCAGGACATCCTGCGGAAGACGTTGAACAGCTTTGGAACAACTTGATGTGCATCGCACGAAGTGCAAACAATAACAACCTAGTGTTTCCTGAAGGCTGGGTTTACATGTGATCTTGGCTCATTCGAGCTGTGGCTCGAGGGGTTCCCAGGAACCGGTTGGGGCGTCTCGCCCACCGCTGCAGATTTGCCTACGGCAGAGCAGTTGGCCGGCATCACCACGGCGGCAGGAGCCCTCGCACGGGCAGGGCTGGATGCCGCTGTTTGGGGTCGTGTTGACTCGGCTTTGCGTGGTGTTCCCAGTCTTTTTTTTATTTTGGGGAATATCCCGGCCGATGCTTTGCGTATGGCAGTTCTGGTCGCGCGCGTCGTTGTGTTCGAGCCAGGTACCGCCGGCGAGCCAGATTATGTAGTCCCTTCGCAGCGCGGCCTGACTGTGGTCGAGTCGACGCAAGTTGGGCTACTCTGGCGAGTTGCGCGGCGGAAGTCCAGAAGGCGGACATAGAGCCCATCGTAACGGCCCCGACTCCTCTGGCACCACCGGTCGGCGCGGGCGTTCACTCGGAGTGGGGCCAACTGCTGGGGCTGACCCGGCAAAGAGAAAGGTCAAGGTCAGCACCGTCCTCGACCAGGCAGGCGATGCCGAGGTCCCCGAACTCAAACAGACGGAGATCGACGTGTACTTCAAGGTGTTTGAGAAGCACAAGGGAGCACCGGTTCGGCCCGAGGCGGAACCGTCCCCTGACCAGGGTTCCGCCCCCTAAAGTTGGGTGATGGACCTGGACTTGTCTCTCTGCGCGGACTTCGCCCTCTTCGTCAACTTTCAGCACCGGTTCGCCAAGAGCCTCAAGTTCAAGAACACATCCTGCAGCCCAGCGGGAGCTTAAGCACTGTGGAGGTTCCGGGACCCCCAAACTACGGTTTGGCGTCCTGGAATGTGTTCGATAATGTCTGCTTATGTTCGAGGTGAAGCCCGGTTTCCCAGCACGATCCGCCCCGCTTCCCGCGGGCCCCGACCTCAATGACTTGGGCTTACGTGATGCCATAAAGCGGATGGCGGGGTCTAGTACGCGCTCGTTCCAGTACTCCTTTTCCTGAGCAGCCACCCTGACCAGGCAAGGCTGCTGGCTGTGTTAGCGGTTCGTGCCCGAAAAACCTAAATTTCTCGATGGGTGCTACCGATTCAGGAACAACCTTTTCGAAGGGCACCCCTTCTCCTGCGGACGACGACTACACTACACCTATGCAAGAGCAGGAGGAGAAAGACGCGGGCTTGTCAGAAGGCTCTGCGGGCACGTAGACCCTGTCCCTATCCGTCCCTGCTACTGTTGGGAGAACGGCCGAGCCCGGGAGCAGGTAGAGGGGCGTCGACCCCACCGCGCCGTCCGGAAGAGTGCGCGACGGAGACTTGCGGGCATCTGCGGGCTTTCGGACAACGGTCAGCGGCACACAATACAATGCGAAAGGAAGTGGTGGCGAGGGCCGCCCCCATCCTTGGACCAGCGGCGCAAGACTGCCCAGTAACAAAGGAGGCGGACATGGGTCACGGAACCGACTGTCAAGAGCGACCCCGACTACGAGGAGGAAGTGGAAAAGGAATCGCGACTGCGTGCTTGGGACGCCCTACAAAATTGCTGTGTTGTATGGGCGGCCTTGGACGACATGGCCCGGGACTGTTCTGGGCATCACCCGGCTCAGCACTCTACCCACCCCATAGGAGCGGCTCCTCATGACGGCGTGTGGTGGCCTCAGCCAAGAGGTCGTCATGTCGCTGGGGCGTTGACGCACTCGCGAAGCAATGCTCGCCTACTTGCGCGACGCACCGCTGGTGAGGGCCGCCAGCGCTCCCACTCCATGGCACTGGCTGTTACGGGGACGAATGCAACGGTATAGGTCGACTTGGAGGCGAGGAACCGCAGTGCCGCGCGCGGAACATGAGTCCACCGAAATGATAAGCGGCCATCGCAGCTCGGGGGCACCATCTGTGGATGGACTTGGGCCGAGATGGGTTTGGCAGGCCGTTTCCGAAGGGGCCGCTTTGGCGGAACGGCTTCCGCGATCTTCCGCGCGTAACAACCGCGACAAAGCAGAGGTGCGCTGACTAGCCCTGACACTGAGCCTGGCCGTGGTAGAAAGTTGAGGGTTTTTGGGTGTTGTTCCTTTGTGCAATCCCTGCGGCCCGTGCTTAACGGCTGGAGGCCGGCTTAGCACCATGGATCACCTATGACCCTTTTGGGGGGAAGCGGTGGTAGGGTACTGAGGAGGGCAGGAAAAGAAGAAGTCAGGTGGCCGTACCGGGAAAGCCCGGTTCGGGGCTCATCGGCTCCTTGCCTAAATTTGGAAAGGGGTAAGAGGCCAGGAGAGGACAGGTGGCTCCCTCGTGAAAGCCCGTGTCGGGGTTTCATCGGCTCCTCGCCTGCGGTTCCAAGAAGAGGTTGAGCTGCAAGTTCCAACCCCGGTCTTCAGAGAAGGCCCGGGAATGGGCAACCAATCGGGCAAAGCCCGTGACCAGCGACCTCAGGAAAAATGAAGAGAGCGTGTCGGGCGGTAGAGTGGGGGCACGCGAACACGACCGGTTGTTTTGCAGAACGACGCGGTACAACGAGAAAGTATGTACATGTCACAGGAGGTGCCCCATTAGGCCTCGAGAAGCCTAGCAGGGTGCCGGAAATCTCTTGTTGTTTGGCTTTGCGCAGGGCGGGCCCAGTAATTAGAGCAATTGTGGCACCCAGCCTTCGCAAGTAAGGATGCGGCGTTGCGCCTAGTTTTGTGAGGACCTCTACCAGTAGTAGGCTTGTGGTAGATTGCCAGGCCACTGCTCCAAAGTATCTATGTCTATACTTCTGTGGAGTTCCTAAGAACCCGAGCCCAGCTCTCTGGCAGGAAAGCCAGCCTTCTCCCACAGTGGCTGCATCCGTTCATGGTGGACAAAGTGGATGCAAACGCGGCTGCCCATTGGCTGCAGGAGCACTTTTCCCATCTGAGTTGCAATCCTGCCGGCCCAGCACGATTTGCGACGGAGGCAGAAGCTTCGATGCCGTCGCCGGTCAAAAGAGAGGCCAAATGCGAGCCGAAGGACGAGGCAAAATTCGAGGCGAAAGACGAAGCAAAATTCGAAGCGAAAGACGAGGCGAAGGACGAAGTCAAGGACGAGGGCGAAGATGAAACACAAGTAATGGCGGATGGCTGCACGCATGTTGCAGAGCTGAACTGGCTGGAAAGTCCCGCTCCGTCCAAGGCCTCCGCGGGAGATCTTCCGAAAACTGGAGCCTTCAAACTTCGTCTTGGCAGCTTTGCAAAACCTCCCTGTCTTGACTTGGACAGTGATGAATGATGAGAAGCTTGCGTGGGTGTGCCCTTCCGCGACTTTCGTGTCCAAAACAATTGAGCCTTACCTTGCTTGGCCTACCCGAGCCCTGCTAGTCTCCAACAGTTGATACGACCCCCGAAGTTCCGCACAGCCTGCTTTAGCTTGTAAGGCAGTTCGCTGCGATCTCTTCTCAGTAGTTCGACTTGAAATAGATAGCTGACTGCATATCCGGATTCACCTGGGAGTTCGGCACGGACCTTAATGTAGCAGTTTGCATGCGCGCGATATCTTCGGGCATCGGCTTCGAGGGTGTGTAGCGGATTTCCCGCTCAGATGTGCAGTCGCTCCGCAGCACATCAGAGGTTGATAGGGTTTGTAGGTGTTAGGGTTTCGGGCGTACGGGACCCGTGATCTGATACATGGTTCTCTAAACGGGGCCACCCGATCCGGTGCACATCACGGCCTGAACCGTTGCAATTCTTACAAAAGATGAGATGGTGGGTCTACTGATGTGCGCATGGGAGGTTTGGCGTCCAAGATCACCTGTGTGCGCTCCCTAGCCCGAAAGAGCTCACGGAAGGGAGCAGAACAGCGCAGGGACCTCCTACGTGCCAGTCACTTCTCAGGTCGATCAGTGCGCCGCGCGTCTGCAAAGAGCTCGAGAGCAAAGAATGAAACTGTTGTTTCGTCATGGGGTGATCGAACCGTTAGCCCGCAATTGTCTGGTTAACACAGGCCGAGCTGATTGCTTCCCTCCGTGAGAAATACAAAGACAAGGCCGGCAGCCTATGTATGCAACCTATGAATGCGATAGCGAGATCGTAGGAATGTGGCATCTGCTTCGCAAGCGGAAGCTTCAGGCTGCGATGGAATTCGAAGTTGCAGATGCCTCCAACTTGCCGCAGGAGCTGCTGTTGGCTACGCGAGAATTACCCAAATTCTGGCTTTGTTTTGCTGAAACAGAAGGCTGCGGCCTGCAATTCCAAGATGCGTGAACAGAAGGACTGGTCCGACCGATTTGACCTCGTGCTAGACAAAGCTTTGCTGGACACGGTGGTCGCTGGAAGGCAGTAAAAAACACATGGAGTTGCTGTCAGATAACGACGGTGTTGATTTTGTAAGTAATAATGCCGCTTGCAGCCGCATCGGAGACGACGACGGTGGTGGTGGTGTCGATGATGCCATGAACAGAGCAGCATGACGGGGACGAGGGATGTGGGTTTCCCTTCAGAGGGACTCCCGTACAGTACAGTATCTCCCGCGTTGATTTGGCTGTTCCGCTTCGACGCTGCGATGGGGAAGATTAGATTTTGTCTGTGCTCTGTGTTCGTGTATTCGTTCACAACTGGCACGTGTCTGCTCACTCCAGGCAAGGTTGGGCCTCCGCAGAAGGCGTCCTGCAGTCGCTGATGGCCGGGGCCTTTCGTCGCAGCAACTGTTTGGAAAGCACAGGTATCTGCGAATCTTGATGTGAGACCGCAGCAGACGTGCCTCAAGATTATCTTTACGTCCTGAGCCCGACTTGCTCTGGGCCTTTGCCTGAAGACGGTGCTCAGACCGACAATCGCATCCTGATCGCATCTGTTGGGCCAGTTTCGTGGCATGCACGTGTAATTGGGTCATGCTGGAAAGGCGCTCCGCACCCATGCTGCGCCGCGCCGCACCGATCTCGCAAAGACTAGTCGGTCGTCGATTCTCAGCCGCCGCAGAGGCAAGCGCTCAGGGTTGCAGAGTCGAAGGTCTCGAGGGAGGTTTACTTCGAGTTATGGCGATTGTTACTCCAGATGGTAGGACTTTCCTGTCAATACAGCTCAAGCTGTCTGATGCAAGTTTGTGCGTGAGGCTGTTGGACCATCCAAGTGGAGACGTCGATTGCAGCTTGGCAGCACGACTCGGAACCGTCGGTGCTTCTGCCCGCGGCCGTGGTGACCTGACGAGGCTCTTGGCAAGCGGTGCTGTCGGAGTCACAGCAGTCGGAGTCGGTTCGTTCTCGTACAGCAGCGAGAAGAAGCGTCAGGAGCAAACCTGAAGCAAACGGAGGGAGCCCTCTGACTCACCCGTGCATGTGCAGGACCGAGAGAAGAAAATCAGGACTGGCACTTCGTATTGTAAGGTGTACCTTACAGATCAGAATCCACGCAGAGTATCCCAGCATCATTCGGAAGCCGTACATACAATCGTGCAGACGCTCGAGGGTCAAGATCTGGTTGAGTTTGCATGAGCCTGGATGCTTGAGGACCGTTGAGGAAAAGCCAGTACCCACGCGTGCCGACCAAATAAAGCGGCTAGCAAGTGGAGAAGAGTTTGACATCTTGGTGGTTGGCGGCGGCGCAACAGGTCCAAACACATTGACTTGATGTCCGTTGAAACCTCTGCGGGATGGCGAACACGACAGGCGCTGGAGTCGCTTTGGAGGCCCAGCTCAGAGGACTGAAGGTAGCGTGCGTTGAGCAGGAGCGACCTCCTTAAGGCGTCTGTCGGACGCAAAGCCGGTCGGTTGCTGCCAGGAAGACTTCGCATCTGGGACTTCTTCCAAATCCACGAAGCTCCTTTGGGCCGGTGCGGGCCTCTCTTGCAGAGAGCGGGTACTAGTAGCTTTCTCTGTGGCCAAATGAAGTCAAGAATGTGGTGCTCACGTTCAGTGTTTCGTGAGCCTGGTTGTTTGCAGTGTTTCTTCGAGTGTCATCAGTCAAGGCTCTCGGTACCTCGTGAAGGGCTTGGTGAAGCTGTTCTCGCCGTCTTCCTTGATGAGCCCAGTGGCAGCATGGAGCGAATCTTGGACAGCATTGCTGGACAGCCGCGGAGCAGAGTTATGGTGACGATTTCATGCCGTGTAAGCAGGCCAGCTGCAGGAGAATTAAACGCATCCTTTGCCAGACCCGCGGTTTCAATCTTCAAGCTGCAGCAATCACTGCCTCTTGTCTGCTCCTGTCCGGCAGGCCGAAGAAGGTAGAATCTGTACTTGAAAACAGCACACCTCAACACTTCTCGGACAAAACCCGCTTGAAATTGGTTTTGTGACTGTATCATTCGCAAGGGAGAAGCCAAACTTGTGCACAGGTCGTGTCTTGGGTCCCTAATGGCAATGAAGCACCCATGATCTCGAAGCCCACTTGACTTCACTACACAGCTCACCACATCTTTGGCATGCAAAATGAGAAGCGTATCCCCAGCTGTGGTGTTACTATCTGGTGTTGGCAAACCCTCCCAGGTGCAAGGAATCCGGTACGTAATTCGATTTTGAGGCAGCTGTAGCTGCAGAAGACAAACCGAGGCAACCCAGGCGGAGCTTCCCAGCCTTCTGTGCACTCGGTAAATCGCTTGAGGGCGGCAGTATGCGGCAGTGCTTCATGCTCTCAACTCATCAAGTACCTTGTAAAGAAAACTACTCACATGAGGACCGAAGCCCTTGACAGCGCATACCTGCCTCAGCCATGAGTCGGCACGTATCTCGGGGTGGTGTCAACACACACAAGCCGCTTGATATGAAAAGTAGCCGGGCCTGTGTAGCACCGCCAATCCGCAGCGCCCAGCGACTGCTTTAGAAGACCGTTTTAGTCACAAGAAGCAGGGCAGCTGTGGCGCAGGTTTGATTCCTGTATGATGACCAGCGAGGTAAAGGATATTGATATGACAGGATGTAGATGGCCAAAGGGACGTCACCATCACCGATCAAACAACACAACTTGTCCAAACGGCGCCCGACCCAAAACCAGCAAATTCATCTATAGTTTCACCAAGAGTTCACCCGAGCTTCGTGATTTTGCATGATTTTGCATCACTTGACCGGGTGGAGCCAGCGGGCACGACGTACTTTGCAGCAGATGGCACTCTTCTGTTGCTTCTGTTGGTGCCGATCCCTCTGCTGAGGAGTTTGCGGGAACCTGGCATATGGTCCACAACTAAGCACATGGTGGGTCATGCCCTGATTGACGTCAATGGCATAGCTTTCGTTGTGCACGGTCCAATATAAGGTGTTGGGATGTTTCCGTGAAAGAACCTACATGCTGACGATGAACCCCCACATCACCAATTGGGTTCCGATTGCCGTTCCGCCACCTGGTGAGAAATGGGTGTCGGACGCAGCACATACCCTTGGCCAGACGCTGCAGAATATTTAGAAGCCTGGCTAGCAGTTGTAGTTGTCATGCCCACACCACCGTCGAGTCCCCAACTTGTGCTGCTACATCTACAGTCGGGTAAAGGCATTGAAGGCTGGCTCACGCCCGCGCATGCTCGCGGTCGTGCCGAAACGAATAATTGCTGCACAAAATAGCAGCGTGACTTTCAGGTGTGTTCGCTCCGAAGCCGCTGTAGATTTGCTCACGACAGGTTGGACAAGTGGATCATTTGGCCACCACCGTTCGAAGCCTGCCTGAATTATGTGTCGGCAGTCGGGGAGTCTAGACTTGATCGGGTTGGCAAGTAGTCTCCATGGCAGCCTTTGGCATTTTTCTTGAAAGGCCCTTGTTGTGTCAGAAGGCTATGGCAGTGCCTTTTTGTGACGACGTTGTGTCGGCAGGATTATCCGCCGGCCGCATTGGGGCCATGTACGGGTCTCTTCGTGATCTTCTTCAAATTCTATGATTTTCTGGGGCAGCATCTCGGATCATTTCGTACATGTGAACTATAACAAAACATGGAAAAGAGGCCAGGCCGATGCAGAGAGCTATCTTCTGTCCCATGGTTAGGATGCTCTCTCTTGAAGAACCTGTGGTGCTCTTGCAGGGAACTTTCGCACAGATTTAGCTTGCTTACCTTGAAGCAAGCACTTCCCAACATCAGCCTCACATCGAGTCACAGGTGCTCCGGCAAGTGCAGAAGTGCAGTTGGCCAGGTATGTCGCGCCCAACTCGTACGTCATGTCTTCTGAAAGAGCACGAACAGATTTCCCACAAATGGACGGGAAGAGGCAACAGCGTGACTGATTGCAATGCCTGCTGCGACATTCCGAAACGGTGCAGGGGCTTCCAGTTTGACTGCCAGGATGAAGTACGTTTCCGTTTTCTATGAGGGTGAGCACAACGATGCCCGCACCAACGTCTGCATCGCCCTCACTGCAGCAATGTACGGGTCTTGCATCGCCAACTATGCCAAGGCACAATTTTGACGGTGCGAGGTGCTCGTGCGCTTTCCGTGGTTTACTCTGCCAGTGTCGACAGGTTGAGCGAATCGTGTTCGACGAGAAAGGTGTTGCCACTGGGGCAGAGGACGGCCGGCGGCCAGCTCATGAGGTGTCGCACCGTCCGTGCAACCTCGTTTGATTCGGCAGGTCCTTGACAAGACAGATCCAGCTGCCAAGCCTTTCGCTGTCAAGGCTTGTCATAGCGGCAGTGTGTTCATGAGTTGCGCAGATCTGCATAAGACTGTCAGGCCAAGAAGATCGTCTACTGTGGTGGGCCTTTCACAGACGGTCTGCGGCAGCTGAGTGAGGGGAAGGATGTGAAGCCCATGGTCAATGCTTCTGGAGGCGCAAGACTTTTTCCAGGCTATACAATTCAATTCTCTTCCGCTGGCGTAACACTTGCGTTGAACTCTAGTTTGCATTCAGCAGGACGCGTGCAGGCCTTGGCCTGATTGATTCGGAGTAAACGAGAGTGTTCAACAGTAGTTTGTCAACGCTGATAGCAAGTGGATTTCGGGAGGTACCCACATTGTCCTTCCGCAACTTGGCCAAAGTTTCTGTGTGGTGCCGCATGGAATCCATGGAAGTGCAGTGCAATAATGGAGCACGGCATGCAGAAGCGGTTCCCGCGGGAGGCCTTACTATTGCCCCCGGCACATCGGAATGGTTGACATGATGACTTCCAGAGGCCGGGTGCCATGGTTGCTATGGGAGCCAAAATCGGTGCATGAAGAGCGACATGAGTGACAGTGCCCTGAGCAGGCTCGTTCCTCTTCTTCCTCCCATGGGAGGGCTACACGCTTGTTGGCACCACGGATGTGAAAACAAAGCCTGATCTGCATCACGAAGTGCCCGAGGATCGCATGTCTGCCGAAACACCCCTTTAGACTATGTGAAGGACTTTCACAACACGCTGCGGTTTTGGCCCTGGGAGGACGAGATTCAGTATTTGATCAACGAGTGTGAGAAGTACTTGTCGCCCAATCTGCAGGTGCGCCGACGAGACTCGGCATTCAGCAATCTCTTCATCAGCTGACGGTTGTGCATCGTGCTTCAGCACCACATTTTGACACTGTCAATTTGCAGGAACAAAGATCGAAGTTGCAGTAACACGTTTGTATTTGCGGGTGGTCTTCTGCTAGGGCATCATTGAGGTAGCAGGGCAGTTTGGTGCAAGCTTCGCCTGAAGTAGTTGTTCTTCAACCGTAACCCAATGGCTCGATTTGAAGGGTGTTCCGGCGACCGCACGCGATCTACTCGCAATACTTCTCAACCTTGGGCTTCAGCATACACCGTGCCCTGCAAAAAGGAGACGTCATGTCGGCTTGGTACGGCATTCGTCCGCTGTGCGGAGACCCAAATGCCAAAGATCAAAGCTCTGCCTCTCGCGACCATGTTGTGCCATGGCAGCATGCCGGCTGTCAACAGCGTGTACACGGGAAGACTGATCAGATCGGAGCGCATGTGCAGGTGTCGCATCATCCAACGAATGGTATCACTTTTGTCTCCGGCGGAAAGTGGACAACTTGGCGAGAAATGGCAGAGGATGGCGTAGACCAGGTCTTGGAGCGCCACCCGGATCTGAAGAAGAAGGTGCACTCATAGACGCTCATCGAAGCCTGAGCTGAGTGGTGTCGGGGCTTTTGTATGCATGCCTCAGAAGTTCTCAGCTTTGCAGGCTGGACCTTCCATCACCTTGGAGACACCCTTGCTGGGAACTGGAAAAACAAGCGAGTTTCCGGAAGGCCGGATAAGTTAGAGCATTTAGAGCCAATTCCCACTTCGGGAAGGCACAGGTGCGCCCACAGCTTGCCATCTCACGCCCCACATGAGAGAATTTCGACGATGTCTCATTTCAGCGGGAGTGCTCTTGCCTGCCCTTTCTTTACTGTATGCAGATGCAGACAGACTGTTCGCTGATATTGACATGTGCCAGGATATCACGAAAATCTGGCGGTGCGATTGTCGCAGAAATATGATGTCGCCTTTGACGTGGCGCAGCACCTGGTGCGAAACTACGGCACCCGAGTCCCCTGCCATGAGGAAGGCTGCGAGTTGAATTAACGGTCATTGGCCGTTGGGAGAATGTTGCCTGTGTAGTTTTCTCGCCATCTTCATAACATTACACTTCCTTTTGTTTGACTTTCCTTTAGTGCCAGGTTCTCTTACTGTAGGCATGGTTTGTGCACGTACCTGCGCACACATCTAGAGCAAGAGAGGAAGGCCAAATTCCTTACGAGCGAAATGTCGTCACCGAGAGGTCGTCATCCAAAGCGTCGTCGCTGACGGACACATTGCTCAAAACTGGCCAAACGATCTCCTTCACATTCCTTCGCTGATCAAAAAGCCTTTTCCAAGGTTGTCTAGCCTCCTTTGCTCTCCAAGGATGCATCAGCGCAGTGACAACAATTGACAGCATGTGACAATTGCATTGCTTGGACCCGGCACGGTTTCAGAATTGGGAGGTTTCGCGGCCACTGGTCCACCCAGTAGGATTCTGAGCGTGCCTTTCGAGGGAGTGGCTTCCCCACACTAGGGTGCTGGAAAGATTGGAAAGCCGACGTGGATGCTTCGCGGCATTTAGGGTGACGAAGCCATGCGGGCCGGTAATCTTCCCAATGGGCTGGCCTGCGTGTAAAGCATATGCTAGTACCGACCCCGTTTCCAGATCAACCGTAGTGGCTCTGGCTCCAGAGCCGCTGCCGGCACCAACAGAGCGGACTGCTTTTAAGCTGGTATCGCACCATAACTCCTGCATGATACGACCAAGGCAGGCTCACTATTGCGAGGCAGCGGACATGCATGAATTATCCGTACTGTACATCTGAGGCTGGGGATGTGCTGTCCTGCGTCGAAGAAAGTCAAGTCAAAGGTGCTTCAGCTGCAGCAAACGTGAGCAGCTTTGAACAGATTGCTAGGACTGACGACCGAATCGCAAGAAGGGAGGCTCTCCACTGGCATTAAGGATCCAGGTCTGGACTGTACAAGCACTATCCCAGACTCTATGAGGGTGCGGCAGCTACAACTGGCTACCCATATCTGGAGGCAGAAGTGCGATATGCAGTTCTTCGGCCGATGTTCGTTTTTCCGGTGCCCTTTGCTACTCATAATCAGGTTTGATTTTGCTCATTCACACTTCGCCGTGAGCTGCAGTTGAGGTAAACCAGGAATACGCGATGAGTCCTGCGGATGTTTTATCGCGAAGAACTCGCCTGGCTTTCCTGAACTCAACAGCAGCCCGTTTGTGCTTGCCCCGTGTCGTGGAGATCATGGCTGTGCCTTGGTGAAAGCTTTTCTGATGTCACGCTAGACTGTCTAGATCCTTTTAGGTCAGAGAATGGGGACTCCCACGTTCCTGGTTGAGGGGCGATGTTCAGTCAGTTGAGTCTTAGTTCTTAATCGGCCACAGCAATGTCAGGAGTGCCTGGGTTGGTCTGATGCACGAGCTCTTGAAGAGCACGAGAGAGCGGAGCAGATTCTAGCCCGTGACTTTGCTGGACCCGTGACCCGGCCTCACAGGTCCTGTTGTTGCTGCTGCTGCTGCGTACTGTGCCTTACTTGCTTTCTTGCAGTGTAATCGGATGAGGTGCCCAACAAGGTCGGAGCACTCCTTCGAACGGCTTGCACTGCAGACGTGAAGGATCTGTTGCGCTGATAGTCGCAGAAGCAATCTGTGGTCTCTCATCAAGAGTCGTGCCCGACACAAGTCTAGCCGGCTACCGCAGGTGCCCGTCAAGTCGTAAGTTTGACACGGGTCGCCGGGTTGGACCATTGTGAACGGGGATTCGGTGAGTGCTCACAGAATCGGATGCTCGGCTCGGTTGCGATGGCCTCGCCGACTCGCCGAAGTCCGGTCCTCCGACCTCTTGGCTCTCTGGTGCCGGCTTTGTCAGGCCTAGGCCTAGCTAGGCCTGCGCCTCTGCGGAGGCAGACGTTTCTTCGATTTTGTTCCGGAGGATGTCTTCGACAAGATTGACGTCGAGAGAAAGGGTACTCTCACCAAAGCAGGCATTTCAAAGGCGCGTTTCGAGTCTCATTCTCGTTTTCCTCGCATGCCTCCGGCCAGCCAAGATTGCCTCACGCTTGGAGGCAGCAGCTGAACTTGGCTTTCCTCTCTCACAAGCTGAGCTGCAGAAGGCTGTGAATGAGATGGACACTGACAGGTCAGGTTGCCGTGGTTTCGTAACCTCCAGCTGTTGTGCTTGCTCGATCCGTCTGTCAGCTCATGGTAGCGTGACGAGATGTGGGCTGCTCTGCGCGAGGAATGGCGAGGTGCACTTCCCAGAGTTTTTGGCTCCTCAGCTGCATTGGGGCCTGTGTGTCGGTAAGTCTACAGTGTAAGTGCCCAAGCTTTTCCAACGATTGCAAGCTACGAGCCGATTTGGGAAACCAGGCATGGTGGAACTCGCAGCCTGGATGTGATTACCACATATTGCGACTGTCTCAGCTGCTTCGTGCATCTGCCTGCAAGGTCTGAAAAGAGCCAGGACGTGCAGAAAAAAATCTACATGGGCAGCCGAGCTGGTTCCAGGCCATAATCTTCTATCCGGATGATGTCGCCAGTAGAAAGGGGGGGCTTAGGAAACCGATACTTGGTTCATCATCATCCAAGCAGGTGGAAGACAATCGAGCAGTAAGCTTGCAGAGGCCGGGCCGGAGAGCAACAACGCTCATAATCAGCCTGTTGAGTCGAGTTTCTGCCAGGCTTTTGGCATGACGGAGTCCTGCTCTTCCGACGTGCCAAATTTTGTCACCACTTCTTTCAGTGGTGCAGCTGCTTGACCGTGCGGGCTGTCGGAATAAATTTTACCGGTTGCTTGCCTCAAGATGTGGTCGCAGTGCTGACAAAGCAGGCTTTCCGAGCACATATTGAAGAAACAATGCATCTAATCACAGTGCCACTCGATGTTGTCTGAGCTCATGTGTAGGAGGAGTATGCCAGGATCCACACTATTGGAAGCATGCCTCGTTTCTCTGCAGAGAGCATGCCCTCAGCAGCAACACCTTTGATTTTGATCGCGTCATGTCTCGTCGGGTTGTGCCGTCGTGGTGGGTGCTTGCCGGTTCCGCGGAAAGTGCCTATCCAGGACATCTTCATTTTGGTTGCGTATACATTGTATGTGCCATTCAGCCCACGTCTGCTGGTGTCTGAATGATTGGGGGAGGAGGCGGCTTTCGTGTTCTCGGGTACACGTGAGTTTTTCGGTGTCAATATTTTGGAACAGCCGGCCTTCAGGCTGAATGTCGAGTCCTGGAAGATGTCGAGTCGATGAAGATTGCTTTCCACTGGGTGCCAAGATGTTGATGCTTTGGGGGGCATTCGGGCCCACCTCCGAAGAGGAGCACCAATAAACATTCGGTCAAGAAGCATGCAGAAGCAAGCAGTTGCTTTGACATTCTTACTTTGCGTGTGTTCGTGGCCCATGTGTTGTTGATTACCGTTACACTTACGGGTGAAGGTGTGTTGTGTTTGCCCATTTAAATTTACCACAGACCGAACTGCGTTTTGGATTCATACGCGCTTGCTTGTATCGTCATTTCGATCCGTGACCTACGTTCCCGCGCTGAACTTCATTCCGCATAGCCTGCACAGTCAAGCTGCTGACTCTTGTTAAAGCACAGTGGATGGCCAGCAGCAGAGCTGCTGTTCACAGGCATGCCCAATGCGATTTCACCACGTCCACATCCCTATGCACATATGTGACCTGCACTCCGCTCATGTAGGCGGATGTTGGACAACACAATTTTCAAGCAGGCGTCGGGGGCAAGGAATTTCTGATCCCCTGGATGCGCAGAGCCTTGCCTTGGTGCGCATGGACAAAAGTCTCAAAGACGGCCGGCTGCACGCTGTGTCCTTGATGCCTTCCTTGGCCCATGCGATGCGTTGTCCAGGCCACCTTGAAAAGCTCCGGGCGATATGTGTCAGAGCTCAGATGCTTCTAAGGCCTAGGCACTGCTGAGTGATTTCGTCTTGCATGCCCGCTTCCTGCGTGAGGTCTGTGTATCGCACGCCCGGCCGGCGCAAAGACTACCACTATTGTCAGCCGTCGTGCAGGAGCATCGGAATCGATGTAAATGTAAATTAAAAATTACAAGACTTGCACCTTTAGCTGCTTGCGAGGACAAGAAGCGGGAAATCTCATGCCACCAGGTTGCCCGACCTTTGGTGGCGAGCTTACCACAAATCACAGCCTGCACGGAGCAGCAAAAGGCACATGCCGACTGCTCCGAGGATCCTCCGCCAGATCCCAAAGCAAAAGCTGGAAAGGCCAGAAACAGCGATACGCAGCGACGCAGCGATTTGTGAGTTGCCTGCTTCGAAGATGTGATGTGATCGGGTCCTCAGCATTGGCTCCGAGAGAACATGCACATTCAACCTCAGCTTGCCATTGAAGTTGTGGCGGCTCGGTTGTGAAACGGGACATGTGGGGCTTGACATGCTGCCTGGCTTGCTGGCAAATCGTGTATGCGTTCGCACTTTCGCCCTTCGATTGGCCAAATGTCTTGGGGCAAGCCTGGCTTTTTGATCAGGGCTCCACGCATGGTTTCCGCTCAGAGCCAGGTGCCATTCGTGGGCCTGCACCTGACTGGGCCATGGCAGGGAGGATCCCGCTGGTCGAGTACGGGATTGCCACAGATCTGCGGTCCGCTTCGGGGCTTTTGACCGCATCTTCATATCCCGGCACTATCGTTCTCGATGGCAATGTCACATCTGGGGGATCAGAATTGCGCGTCCAGGCCTGCTTGATCTTCCATTCAGCAAGCACTGCGATTGTAAGGCTCTCTGTGCAAAACCAGGGTTCTCAGACCACACAGGTAAGGTTCAGAGTTACTGCATCCGACATCAATGTGACTTCTGCTTGGCCGGCCAACTCGATCGGCTTCGCTCTGCCGGAATCGAACTTTCTATGCCTTCGTGAAGAGGGGCCCAGCCGAGGCAATTTCCTTTTTGCGACCAAATGTTTGAACCATGGCACGCAGCAAGACCTATCGTGGAATCATACGTTAGACCAGGACCGATTGGTTGTCACATCTTCAGAGATTCTCGTACAAAGAGACAGAGAGGCAAGCGCCTTCATAACTGTTGCTTTCCCACCAAATGCTACTACAGTTGGAGCCGATGCACACATGTTGAACTCGATGGTGAGCAGCACAATCCTTCGGTGGAGCTCATACTTGCAGACTGCTTTAAGCCCTTTGGTTCAGAGCCCTGGCATGCAGTGGGTTGCAGTAAAATCTGTAATGACATTGCTGAACAATTGGCGGTTTGTACCCGGTCTTCCAGATGGCGTGCTACCATCTTACAATGGCTACGAGAGTGGGTTCTGGTCTTGGGACACATACAAGCAAGCTGTCGGAATGGTAGGCTTTGCCCCGCAGCTTGCCAAAGACCAGCTACGCCTGATTGTTTCTGCACAGAACAAGCAAACCGGGCACATTCCCGACAAAGTGGACCGGTGTGGAAAAGCTGGTGGCTGCAGTGGTAAACCCCCGTTGCTAGCCTGGGCCGCGTGGCAGATCTTTGAGGCAACGCGGGATTTCTCATTCCTTCAGGAAATGTACGATGCCACCAAGCAATTTCATTATTTCTGGTATTCAGCCCGAGACCTTAAGGGTGTCGGCCTGTGCTCGTGGACGGAGGGAATGGAAAGTGGCATGGATGACGGTGTCAGGTTTTTGCCACAGTATGCTGCCTCCATTTCCAATGCTTCCAGCCATGCCACTTTTCCGAATTAAAAATGTTCGTCTGCCAACTTACACTTCCCATCCCTCTGCACGTGGGCAAGGTCACTACCTTAGACTTCTGGTCCATTGATTTGAACTCTTACCTCTACAAAGACAAGCTGACGCTTTGCTAGTCTGGACACCCGTGCTTGAACGCATTTCGGAACACGTTACTGAGTTACAGTGTTCTGCGGATCTACGAAGAAATTTGATATCCTTTCCCTTGGTGCTGTCTGGAGCCATGACAGCTCAGGACATTGTCCGCAATGGCAGATGCGCTTGGCATGATGCAGGAAGCACGAGACTGGAAAGCGGCGGCGGAAACTCTGTTGCCGAAGCTGCGTCAGACATTTTTCGTTCCTGACGGGAGGCCGAGTTTCAGTGCAAGAGTGCAGCCTCATGCTTGGTAAGCGTAGTGGGCTAGCATTAGCAGGCATGTGACTGTGATAGGCTTGTGCGGTAAACAGCCGGCAAGTAGAAGCCATGTGGTCTCAGTTGTTCGATCCCACTTTGTGCAGCAGAAACCAGCAAGAAATGCAAGACTGCTGTCAGCACTTGCAGAACTGACTCTCAGGGCTGGCTTCTTTTCAGACGTATACTTCAATGGCACGGCGCAGACCGCAGTTGTCAGTTGTCTTTGCATGGTGCAAGACAACAACGCAGGCTACAAATGACGGTCTGAGTTTCCACCCGAGGCATTGCCGATTGCAGGTTGTGAAGGATATGCTGCCTTGTTTGCTGGTGTAGCAACCCTGTCGCAGGCCGGACGCTCATCTTGTCCCAAATAGCAAGCATGCAATGCACGCGCGTATGTCTCTGTGTGTGTGTGTGCGCGTTTTCTTCTGTGTGTGCTTGCTCGTCTCGCTTGCATTGGGGCATGCCCTGCAAGGAGCAGCAAGCTTGTGCGAAGATAGAGCCAGTAATAGGTTGTCGATTGGTGATCGGGGTGGCACCGTTCGTGCCACAGCACACCATGAAAGCTGGAGTAATCGACGGATTCTTTCCAATTTTGACCATCATCGACATAGCAGGTGCTAGCCGCCAACCAGTATAGAAACGGACAACATCTTAGCCCGGCGGTGCTGCACTGGTGCGCAGTCCAAGGTAACACGGTTGGCCATATGGGGGCATTTCATGTTCTTGAAGCTGTTCGCTCAATGCTTGCGTCGTATCGGGATGACAGGAGCAGATTCATGGCATCAGCTTCCTGGTTCTTGCTCATGACATCTGCACCCTCAGTGCGCGTGCTTGCTCTCATGCTGTGGTAACCGACTCATTGAGCAAAGTAGCACATGCTGAAAGATTGAGAATTGAGAGGCCGTCGAAACTGGTTAAATGGATTCTCCCTCACAAAATCAGTCCTCGCACTAGTGCCGGGAAAGGAATCAGGGCGGGCTGGCCCCGAGCCCCGAGCTGTCACGTGCCTCCAGGCATCTTGCATGAACAAGCGGTTGGGTTCTACGGAGACTTGTGGTGCCGATGCGACGCAAACCGGGCCGGGATGGCACCAGCAGAGAGTGCGGAATTGGCGATGGAGAGCCCAGTATGTCCTGCTGAAAGCAAAAACGACGCTAGTGACTTGCACCCTGGGGAGTCTAAACCACCAGTTGACCTCAGTTCAACAGATCTTACTTGTAGCGGTATAGAACAAACAACCAAGAGGCGGCTTAAAGACAACCAGGGTGTCTGCGTCTGAAGGAGTTCCTCCGCCGCGGGCAAGCCTAGCGTTGCGGTCTTGAGGATCTCCAATTCTCGAAAGGAACATTGCTCACCTGTTTAGACGGTCCTAGCAGGTCCTAGCAATCTTGTGCGCCATATCGCTTTCAGTAACGAGCAGGTGGTCAAAGGGTTTCTCCGCGTTTCGTGAAGGCTCAGCAGCCTCTCCAAATGAGGGCGGATGAGAACACGGTTGCCCTACGATCCCTGTGGGAAATGCGCACCTCACACTTTGTGCTGGCGCCCGACGAATGTAAGTTTGCATGCTCTTTTGGTCGGTAGTTTAGATTTGTTTGAAGTGGCCTAGGTTTTGTTTAATGTCTTCTCGCACACGCCTGATTGGAGCTGGTGGTTGTCGCAAGTTCAACTCGACAGGTGGCAGCAAGTAGCAAGTGTCATGCACATGCTTGTCAGGCTAGTGATGCACACGGCACAATACTCAGACAGGAGCACGATTTCCGAGCCCCCTAGTTTGTTGCCAATGGTGGGATTCATGGCCGGCTCGGGAATGGAAAGAACGAGTTCGGTGCACATCCCTGTCGGGCGCGTGGGTCCAGAACCGAATCCCTTTACTCTCAGTGTAAGAAGCAGGCCTCTCAACAACTCTCAAAAGCAACCTCTCTACCAGCTCATCCGAGAGTTCTTTCAATAGAGGGCAATCGACATGCGAGGTTTGCACCGACCGTACACTCCGTACACTCCCGTTCTGAAGGCTAAGCAAGTGGCCGACACGCTGCGAGACCCCAACAAGTTCCTCCTGAACTTCAGCTTACCATCCGCTCCTGCCCTGGCCAGCTGGGCATCCATGCTGCTAATGCGATGTCCGGGCAGCTCTCACCGTGGTGTTCAGGTCAGCAAGCAGAACGCCTTCTACAATCCCCATGGCTACTGGAAAGGCTTGGGTGAGAGGCACTACCAGGAGCATGCTAGGCAGGATGCAGCAGCGAGGTCCCACATGGTTGGACCAAACATGGTTCGCGTACTCTGGGCTGCAGAGTTTCTTGGTTTCAGCATGGACCTCACCAAGCTTTCCCAACAGTACAGAGACTACCATCTTGAGGCTATGCTGCGGAGGCGAAGAGGGGCGGTGAGGAAGATTCTGAGGCTGGCAAGCTGTCACTGCAATTGGAGATTGTTCCGGGGATGTGCCTGATTTATTGGAGGCAGCTTTCTCTCAGCTTGCCTCTGTTCTGAAGAGCAGAGTCTTCGAAAGGGGCCGGGGCTTTTCTGACAAGGATCAGCGGGAGCCCCAGTAGCTGTAGCTTTCAGCAGCCAGAGAAATCCATCACCTCGAAGTTGCATGTGGCGTGGTTTTGAGGACTCCACTTAACGAGCACTACAATCCGGAGACAGGAACATGTCGATGCGATGTGTTGCCGTCGTGTCGTAACAGACAGTCTCACGGCCTTTTGAAGCTACGGTTGCCGTCGACGATTTCGGAGGAGACCCTGAGGGCGCTCAGCACTTCAGCTGGACAGCTGCACATACTTTGATGTGGACTTCAGAAGGCCATGCCCCGCCGGCATTTCGGCTGCCAACTGATCTATCGGCATTTATGTCTCGGGTTGAGGGGTCTGTATAAAATGCACAAGACATCTAGACAGTTCAGACCTGTACCATTTCTCCCCAAGTTCTTCGCAGTCAGTGGCTTGCCCGTGAGGAAGAGCGGGAATTGTGGACGTAGCACCTCCGACATCGGAATCCGCATCGAGGGCATCTCGCGCAAAGTCTCCCCCAAAAGAAGCAAGGATATGCAAAGATGAAGGCGAAGTGAGCTCCGGAGCAGTGCCGTTTCAGCAACTGCCTTCGGCGCCATGCCGGCACCTGCTGGTTTACCTTCGGCCTTCGGTCGACACATCTCAAGCTCATGGTCCCCGGGTGCAGGAGCCTCTCATCCGCACACGACATCGCGGCGTGTTGAAGACGGAAGTGGGCAGAGCAGAGCCGCGAGCGATAGAAAAAGCACTCTACCGTGTTTGCGGGGGGACCCGAGCACGGCACAGCTTGTTTTGCAAACGGATGGCGGCTTCAGGCTGCAAAAGGAGCCCCGGACCCATCAAGCATGCAAGCTGCCGCAACTGACCAGAAAGATAATGTGCCGTGGTCTCAGCGCGGCTTGACGGATGCGACAGAAAGTGGGGTTTCAGAGTTTCAGCTGCTGTCTTCGGATCGGACGAGGTACCACATCTACTGCTGTGAGTGCCAAGCTGAAGCGCCAGAGCCACCGCTGTGCCGCAGAAGAGACAACTCCTCCTGAGGAGTAGTTCTGTGCTACGCTGGTGCATGTTGATCGGAGCCTGCGAGCCCCCGAATCCAAAAGAGACACGCCGTGCGTAAACACGATGTGAAGATGAGCTGAATTCAGATTCCGCTCTTGCTGTGAACGCCATGCAACTCCTTTCTGGACAAAACCTATGCGCTTGGTTGCCGGTTCCATCTGCCGATTCTCAAGGTCGAACATTACATCCCCCCACAGACCGTCTCAGACCATCAGTGGATTCAGCTGACCCATGCCGCAAACGAGAGCAACAGCTCTTTGACGCTCCCACATCCGCAGGCTTCAAGCTTTCAAGCGAGTGCAAGTTTCAGCCGCATCCATGCAGTAGTTTTGCCGGAGCATGGCCAGGAGGCTGCACGCGCCCCAGAGGAAGGAATGCAACAGGTTGGTGGCCATTGCTAGCTTCCCCTGTTAAGGCCTTTGGAAGGCAAGGTCGTCCTGGTTCATGGCCAGACTCTTATTCTGCTTGCAGCCATGCCTGATGTCAGGGCTGCCAGAGCCTGCCGGATTTTTGCATCAGTTTGGCATTGAAACCAAACAGCCTGGTAGACGTTCGATGCGTACAAGGGAGGAGCTGTGAGAGGAATAGCACAGCAAGTGGTCCTACTGGCTGCAAGAACAGCGACCACGACGACCAGTCGAAACCACCCCTGCCTGTCGTTCAGCATTCAATGCACCGGCTTGCTTGGGAGCAAAGCACTAGTGCGGTAGTTGCAGTTGCAAGCGTGTTCGAGGCTGGGAACTGACCTACCTAGAGCTGTGCAACGAAGTGTCCGTTGTAGGGGCAATCATGTAAGGGTTCTTCTTCATGCAAGGATGTGCTGGTATGAGTCTCGCTTCCTCTTCACTCTCCAGGCGTCGACCCAGGGGCTGTTCGGCGCATAGATGCCGAAGATGACAGGCTCGACTGCTTGCTCTCTTAGCCCGGTCGGTCCGATTCACCCCCGATCCGACCAAGACCGGAGTAGGCTTAGGGGCTGAGGATGACGGCGGTATTGCACCCGTCATCACGGTGAAGCATGTGGGCAGCAACGGTCTCGCATTGGGCGGCAGGATCTCTTTCTCCTTCTGTGAACTTGGTGGAGTTCTTTTCACGGGGTGGCCAGGTTCAAGAAAATCTCAGTGCGGACTCTGCACCGTTGCACCGTCGTTTAATATGAAAGCTTTTCATGGGAAGAAGTGAGAATCCGGTGCTGAGAGCAACTGGGGCAAAGTACAAAAGGATGCACGTGGCCCTGGCCAGACCGGTCCCCGATGTCAATGGCTTGACCGGACTGGCCATCAGCTTGGCGTCGGGAAGCGCCCGGTCAGCCGCCTAATTAGCGTCGTTCGGACAGCCTCAAGTTCTCGAAAGCAAGTGCCTCGCCGCAGCCCTTGAGGCACTACGCCGTCTACTTCTGGGACATAGGGATGTCGCTTGCCACGGCCTGAAGTCGGCATTCTGCATGCGTCCATACACATCCAGCTCTGATGCTCTTTGAGGCCATACTTCCCGAGAACCTTCAAGAGACTGTACCGCCTGTGCCAGAGGACCTTGCCAGTGCTGGCACAGAGCTCAGCAAGAGTGTGATGCAAGCGTTTACAAACGGTCAGGAAGGTGGCTTTGATTTGGTCTTCCCAGCTGCAGCATGCGTCTCAAAGCGGCAGGGCATCATTGACAGGGTCCTCAAGCACGCGTTTGGGTGGCTTCAGAACTGAGGAGCCAGAATCCATGCTGGACTTCGGCCTCGCATTAGGCAGAAAACTGTCATACCAGCAGGCCGCCGAGTGCGTTCAAGCCCTGTTTGGAGGCGAGATCGTGGAAGCCAGGGGATGGGCCGTAGTGCAGCTCTCCCATGCCGACGCTTTGTGCCGGCAACCTAATTTTTGTGAAGATGCAAGTGCAGCAACTCCGCATTTCAATTACCGTCCAAGGCGAAGCAGCATGTCGGGAAGCGAGGTCTCTGCGTCGTTTCGCAGGCGCCTGGCAGGATTTGTCGCCACGCCACGCAGGATCATGCAGTGACCGCCCATGGCAGGTTTGCGCCAGGAGCTGATCCCTGACTACCTCGGGCATGGAGTACGAGGTGCTCCAGCTCTAGCATTTGAGGCTCCGTCCCGGCGTTCAAGCTTAAGCCTTGGCAGGAAAGGTGCAGTTTCTATCCGGACAGCGTGGCCGGGAGGAAGTGGCCTATCTCTTGGATCATAGCCTTGCCAAGGCAAGTTTACATTGCGGCCGCGATGGGCGACTGCACGCGAGTACTCGAGCATACGCACGAGCACGCTCGAGTACGCTCGAGTACGCACGAGTACGCTCGAGTACTATATATCGCACGAAATATGTTTTGTAGTTGGTTTCGTACATATCTAGTATTCAATATTCCAATATATGGCATACCTTGTATACTGCATATACTACAGTACATATATATATATATATATATATTGTATGTATGTATATGCATCTATGTCTGTGTGTATATACGTATGACGTTTAATACATGATACATGTTATACACTGTTCAATACATAGTTTTCCATTGCACGCGGAAATAGCGCCCACGCTCTGCTAAACCCGTAAAACCCGCTAAACCCGTAAAACCCGCTAGCCGCTAGACCCGTACAGTAAAACCCGCTAAATCCGCTAAACCCGTAAAACCTGTAAAACCCGCTAAACCCGCCAAACCCGTAAAACCCGATAAACCCGCTAAACCTGCAGGGGCGCCCATCACTCCCTTCTTCCTGGAGTTCAAGGTCATTTACAAACCCGTTCAACCCGTAAAACCCGCTAAACCATCAAGGGCGCCCCATCAGTCCAAGGCTCCGTCCTCGGAGTTCAAAGTCTGTAAGAGTTCTGATTTAGAAAGCAGCGGCGCCCCATCAATCCAAGGCCCAACCCTCGGAGTTCAAGGTCTGTAAGAGTTCAGATTTGCAGAATCAGGGGCCCCATCGTCCAAGGCTCCATCCTCGGAGTTCAAAGTCTATGAGACTTCTGATTTTAATATCAGGGGCGGCCCATCAGTCCAAGCCTCCACCCTCGGAGTTCGAGGTCTGTGTGAGTTCTGATTCAAATCAGGGGCGCCCCATCAGTCCAAGGCTCCATCCTCGGAGTTTCAGGTCTGTGTGAGTTCTGATTTAAAAGCCAGGGGCGCTCCATCAGTCCAAGGCTCCATCCTCGGAGTTTGAGGTCTATAAGAGTTGTGATTTATAAATCAAGGGTGCTGTATCAGTCCAAGGCTCCATCCACAAAGTACCAGGTTAGTGCGAAGTCTGATTTAAAAAACTGTCAGAGCTTGGATTTAAAAATCAGAGGCGTCCCACCAGGTCTGTAGAGTTCTGATTTAAAAATCCATCCCCGGAGTACGAAGTTTGTAAAAGTTCTGATTTAGAATCAGGGGCGCCTCCATCCGCGAACTTCAAAGTCCGTAAGAGTTCTGATTTAAGAATCATGGGCACACCATCAGTCCAAGGCTCCATCCCCGGTATACGAAGTTTGTAAGAGTTCTGATTTAAAACCAGGGGCGCCCCATCAGTGCAAGGCTCCATCCCCGGAGTACGAAGTTTGTAAGAGTTCTGATTTAAAAATCAGGGGCGCCCCATCAGTCAAAGGCTCCATCACCGCAGTACGAAGTTTGTAAGAGTTCTGATGTAAAACTCAGGGGCGCCCGATGAGTCAAAGGCTTCATCCTCGGAGTTCGAGGTCTGTATGAGTTCTGATTTA